GGGACTGCTCTCCCATGGAGTTCGAGGACGGTCCCGGGAATCCCGGAGTGCGCTCGGGGGATGCCCTCCCGCCAGCCCCGCTCCCAGCGGAGCCCCGGGAGCACTCACAGCCCCACCACCAGGCTGGCGGCCCGCAGCAGGGCCAGCGTGTGGGCGCCGTCCCGCCGCAGGTACGGCTCCCGCCGGCCGCACACCAGCACCAGCTGCTCCGCGTTCTCCAGCAGCAGCCGGTGCCGTTGCCGCCCCGCCATGCCCGCGCCCGCCCGGTGCCACCGCCGGGGCTGCCGGGCTCAAAGTCCCGGGGGGCGCGGCCGAGAGGCCCTCCCGCCCCCGGCCCGCCCGCCTGGCCCTGGCTCCGGCTCCGGCCCTGCCCTGCCCGGCCCGGTCGGCCCGGCCATCCTGCTCCAGGCGCGGGATGCTCTGCGGGATTCGGTCCAGGATAACACGGACAGCACCCGTGCATCGCGCTGGTTCGTGACCAGCTCCCAAGCACCGGGTTTTCCAGCTGGGGCTTCCCGGGCTCTCAGTCCTCACAGCACCGCCTGGAGATTTCCCTTTGCCAAGAAAATAGGAGCCTCTGATTTGGGAGCGTTTGTTTGCCCACCTGCCCCCTCCCCGGCGTCCATCACCTCTCCAGTTAATCCATCATTTTGCCCGCGCCAACCACCCTGCCCGCATCCCAGCAATGACCCCCGAGGGACTGCAACACCTCCCACCGCGCCAGATGTTCAGGCAGACATTCATTTATCCAGGAAGATATTAATTCGCCCGATTCCAATAACGAAATGTTTGTGCGATTCTGCTGCCCCCTGCAGAACGAGAGATGGGAGAATCAGGGAGCAAATTTTTCCTCCCAACACGGACTTTTTGGTTTTCTTCTCTCTTCACATATTCACAGTGTCTTAAGGAATCCAGTATTCCCCAGCTGGAAAATAGAGTGTCTTTCTAAACAAGTGGTCCCTCAAACACTTCTTCTGGGGGGGCAATCTTCTTTAGACACCTTATTTTCTTTTAGAAATAGAATAAATTTAAAATGCTGGTAGCACATCTATGTGCATACACATATTCCTGCTCAGCAGAAACAGTTGGATATGTTGGCTCTTGGAATGAGCCTTTCTGGTGAAAGTCTTGTTTGCAAAAGAGGCAAGATTTGCATCTAAAGCACAGTAACTTGTATTTAATATCAAACCTGAAAATTGAGTAATACTACAATAAAGTTGGGTGTTACCTTGTGATTCTTCTCCCCTGGCATAATGCTGCAACATCTTTGACAGAACCTTTGTCTTCCTCCTGAGCTCCCATGTAGGCATGCAGAAGACTGACAGGAGAGCTGGTAGAGGGTGCTTTAAACAATCCCAGGAGTTCCTGCTGCTGACTGTGGCTCCCCAGCAGCATCACAATATGTTGGAAAGCAGAAATCAAAGAGGAACCTGGCAACAGCATCATCACAAGCACAGAAGGACATCCCACTGTGGAAATGCCTAAGCAGGGGTGGTGGGCTGAGAGCTGTGGTGTCAGGAATGAAACACAGCATGCTGCAGTGGAGGGGGGGGAAAGGAAACATCAACACACCTGTGAGCTGTGCTGTTACACTTTAAAAGAAAAAATCAGTTTTGTGCTCTAGGCTTCTCTGAGATTCAAGGTCAGATTCTGATTTAAAACCTGAGAATCTGTGAAGATTTTATGCTTCATAAGCTAGGAGTGCATTTTATTCTAAGACTTACATTCTGTTTGCAAAAAAATTACAGATGTGCTTGTGTATTTCTATATGCCTTGGCTCTTTTCTGGAGAAGAATTTTCTCTGTAATAGGTCAGCATATAAAAAAAAGTCAATCCACTGCAGTCTGGTTTCTGACATGCTGTGCCTCACCTATTTTTAATAATACTGCCCAGAAAGGTAAGTGCAGGAATGGTTTTTTAGGTTGCATCCTCAGGAAATTCTAGTTTGATTCAAATAGTACAGATTCTAAATACTCGGCTGGATTTTGAAAATCTTGGCAGAATTCACTGGATGTAAACAGAGGACTCTAAAGTGCTAAAGGAACCCTGCCTACATTTCTTAAATTTAGAGCTTTTAAATCACCTTAAAGTTCCAGTGAAAGTTCTTTTTGAAAATAATTTTTAAATGGGGCATTTTCAATGGGAGAAAAAAATCCCAGGAAAAGTAGAGATAAAAAAGTTGAGTATCAGGTTATTGATTTAAGAGATTTCATCTCTTCTTGCTGGTGCTTTACATGAGAATATTATATTCCTATTCCTCAAGGACACATTTTCAAATACACTGTCACAAATGCATTAGCATGTAGCTGTTCTTGTAAACAACTTGTAATTAAAAACAAAAAGCCCAGAGTTAGAGATAAGTCAAGTCTCAAATGAAATATTGGTTAATTGTGCTTAAATTTTTAGATTAGCTTTTTTCATCCCCTAACCAGACCTTTCCAATCATACACATAGCATGATGAAATGTCCTGAAAGGGGACACTATGCATGCCTTAACACAAATTAAATTACTAGTGAAATGTACTGATTGCTATTTCCCTGTTTACAAAAGCAGCAAAAGTCAGTAAACCCTCAGGATCAAACACAGAAAATGCATAATTTGGGTGAAAGTGGCTTGCAAATGTGGAATAGAACCAAACTAAATTGCAAATCTGTTATGTACTTTTGACTTCCCTCATGTTGGATTGAGCTCACATCACATTTTCAAATACTTTTTCCATAGTTTTGCAAAAGTGAAAATGAATTCTGCTTTCTTTTTTCTGTGTAGAAGAACCTTGCATCTCTCAAACCATGGAAACATTGCAATTGCTCAGATGAGCTTTCTGAATCCTCTGTTCCCAGATCTGTCTTTGGCAAATTCCATAATGGCCCAGGGAGGTGGAGACCTCTTGGGGGCACACCACAGTTTGCCTCAGGGGACACAGTTTGGCTCTCCCTGAGCACAGTGCAACCCTGCCAGCCTTGGTTTCCTTTTCACACAACCTGCAGCTGAGGAAAAGGAGAGCTTGTGTGCACCTGTGTGGGATGTGGGCACCTGGTACAACTCCAGCATCGGGGCTTATGGCCAAAGCTTGTCCTTCTTCGCAGCCTGTGAGCTGCACAACACAGAACTGGAGTGTGCAGCACCGTTCCTCTAAGGAATAATAAGGATTCAGCATCTTCTCAGGTAGGTTGTGTACTCTTTTTTTGGGTACTCCTAGGAATGGGAAAGTTTCCACGTAAAAAATAAACAGCAAACAACTGAATACCCAAATGAGAAACACAAAAATGAGCTTGAAACTACATGTGGTATGTGTCATGTCTCATTGTTTCTAGGCGCTTTTTGACCACCTTTTCACCATATTAAATAAGTGGTTTTGCAGGGCATAGGCTTTTCCTGAGTGTCCTCCTACTTTATCTCTGATTTCTTTTATCCTATAAACAATCATAACAACTCAATCACATGAAAGCAATTTTTGCTTTTTAGTTACTTTATGTACCTTGTATTTAACATGTAAAAATCACAAGCCCTTTTATTTTTGTCTTTAATACGCATGTTTCCAGTTCTTTTGCCTTTTGAACTCGCTCCAGAGTTCAAAATAATCTGTATTCATGGGGCTTACGCCATACAAACTAAGGACCAGCTCAAATGACTCTGATATATTCAGAGCACCTTATCTTCACTTGCATTGCAATGCTTTCCACATCATTTAGGACAAGGATCTAAGTTAAGCATATGTTTAAGTTGTTGTCTGACTTTATCTGCATGGGTTCTTCCACTGAACTGAATGGAACACTTGATGGTAGCAAAGAGAAACACATGCCTTCATTTTTGGAGCATAATTAAGATTAGTTATCAATTTATCCACCAAGGTATTATTTAGTTAAAGTGTTTGATGCCTGGTACTATGCAAAAGTAAAATGGTCTGAATTTGAAGTCTAAGGAATGTAAATGTCAAAAAACAGGCATAACAAAGCATCTCAAAAGAATATGAAGCTATGCGAAAGGATCACGCTTTTGTTGAGGATGAAAACTCAAGACTCCATAAAGCAGCTTATTTGTCTGAAAGAGGGAGACAGATTACAGGAGAAAAATATCTTTGTTTTCTTGGTTCTGAGTTCTTGCTTTTCCAAAATCCACTTGTCTTTCCTATTATTCATCTTGCTTTTCCAAAGTCCACTTGTCTTTCCTATTATTCATCTTACTGGAGATTTTCAGTTTGTTTTTTGGTTTTTGTGTTTGTTTTTTTTTTTTTCCTTTTTTCTAGACAGTGGTTTAATCTAGATATTCACCAGCTGTGTCTATCTACTTTGATTAATTTTGGAGCTCAGCAGCTCCCAGCAAAACCAGATGTGACTGCTTTCCTGATGATGGGTACAAGCTGTCTGTCCTGGAATATCAATAGTTCATTTTTAAGTTAGGAAATATCTGCCGCATTAAGGCCATTATGCACAAAATGCTCCCTTGCTTCTTTTGTGTTTTGGCTTGTTTTTTCATTTTCTTACAAAGGTTTCTACTCATTTTAAACTGCTACAGGACTTTCCTTGTGTGAAGATTCTTCCTAGCACAAAAACCAGCATTTCACCAACTACCACTGGTGTCCTGCACTGATGAATTCTCACCCTGCAGGAAGGGAATCAGAGGCAGTGCTGTGGATTACAGGAGGCAGCTCTCTCTGCAAGGCCAAGACATTTTCTTTACCCTCAGGAAAGGAAGCCAGCACTCTGGCTGTGCAGCACAACTCCAGACATCCTTCCACAGATACACCTGAGGAACAGTCACATCCATCTCTGCACACACAAGGGGCTCAGTATAAGCTTGGTCTTCCCAGTTACCCAACAGAGCTGAAGCTTGGTGGTTGCCATAGTCATTATCCTTGTGATAGTACTGATTTTAGCTTAAAAAGCTCTTTTCCCCTTCCCAATGGGACTGCAAGGAACTTCAGCAGAGCTGTGAAGCCTCCACACTGCCAGAAAGGGTCTGGTTTGAGCAATGAAACACCTGCACAAGTACATCCAAATTGATTTTTCACTCTTTATGGAAACTTACATATGTCAATATTAAAGGAACACACGGATAGCTGCAGGGATGACTTCCAACACGAAACAGGGAGGTATTTCTCTGCAGGATCTATGCTGACAGGCTGGTGTCCTTCCCACAGTTCTCATAAGCAGTGTTGTACCCTAGCACAGCCCCGGGCAGCCAGCCCTGCCCACTGCAGCCGTGTCTGACAGACGTGTGATCCCAGCAGCAGGGCTGCAGAGCTGCACTCCCCCTGCAGCCACAGACAGAACATCTCCTCTCCACAACACGCTGAGGAGGACCACAGCACCTTTCCATTCCTCAGCAGACACTCAAAGAGCACACTCCCATTCTGCAGTCCTGTCCCAGCTCTAGTAATGCCACTCAAGTCTGTGGAGCTCTGCAGCTGCCAGAAGGTTTTGTCTCTGTGCCTGCTAAGGTGACACACATTTGTCCTTCCTTGATGACAGCCACACTTCAAGCTTTCCGACTCCAAGCAGGAGAATATTTCTGAGAGAAACTGGGGTCTAACAGATTTCCACACCTCACTTGCAGTGAAATCTTCCCAGCTAATTCCAAAAAATTTTATAAACAGTTTTAAAGACGAAATGTATTTAAATAGTCATGACATACAAATGTATGTACATTTTACAAATGTAAAATGCAGATACTGCCAATTCTTCCTGTACTTCAGATGGGAAGATAACTGGTATTTTTTAAATACTCACTTCTCATTTCAATATTTTCAACTTTACATTGAAACAATTACCTGTTGTTCCTCCAGCATTAGTTTTTTCAGACACCAATAAAACATTAAAGACCTTTAAAAGGGTTTGTTTTCCCCACACCAAAACACAATGGAAATAAACATCTTACTACAAAAGTATGAAAAACAGAAAAGGAAAAAAAAGGTTTATTTCCAGAAATACAAAACACCTATTCTCTCATTTCTCCATCTTCTTCCTCTTCTTCCACACCTCTGATGTACAAAACGTTATTGCATCTGTAAATAGAACCAAGAGTTCCCTTAGCTATAAACATTATGATCTTCCCCACATAAAACATGCTTTAAACATTTTTCTGCTTGAAAGTAGCCTGGCAACATTCAAATTCTACAGAACAAAATGCTGCTCTTGACCTTGTACACCTTTTCCACATAGTACATATAATCGTGCAACTTCATAAATGTAATAATTGTTTGACAATGATGCACAAAAAAAAAAATTTACTTTAGGGTGAACAATTACAGTCAAATTTAATTTCAAAGCATATGAGAAGTTTCCAGCTGCAGTACACTAGTTTACAATGCCCAAGGACTCCCAGATATACAATAATGTGGAAAATAAAAGTATTCAGTCACCACAAAGAGGATAGTAAATACTTCTTTAAATATATTCAAAAATTCTTTTTTTCTCCTCTCAGAAGGGACTTTGATATAAAAGACACTTTCATTGCCTTCCTCTAACAGCTACACTAGGCATCTTAATTTGGCAAGAAACACAACATCCACAAATATAAACTTGCATGCAAGTGGTGAGGCGATGAGACCATAAATAAATATCTCAATTACCTTATTAACACTTCACCCAGGTGTCCAGACAGCGCACCGTCTATGTACTCCTCTGTGTTTGCAAGCTTGAAAGGAAAACGACAAAAAAAGTCAGAATGGCAGCAATAAAAGCGGCTCCACAAACCCATCACGGTTGTGCCCCAGCCCCGGGCCCGGCTGCAGCGGCCGGGGGTGCCCGACCGGCCCCGCTGCCGCTCCGACCGCATTCCCACCGGGACACGGCCCGCGCCCCGGGCACGCAGCGGCGGCGGGAAAGGTCCCGACTCGGGCATCACCCTCAGCTCAGTGCGAGCCCCGCCACGGCACAGACCCCTCCCGCACCCCGGGCTGCCCAGAGCTCCCGGGGATGGGCACCCACAGCGCCGGGGCCCTCACCTGCATGTTCATGTAACCGTCCACGGAGACCAGGTAGCCCTTGTACTCCATGCCCCACTTCAGCTTCACCATCACCGGCTTCCCCGTCAGCCCGTTCAGGAACGGCTTCGGGTTCAGGGGCAGGCTCTGGCGGGGCAAGCACACGGTCAGCGCCGCCCGTCCGCTCCCCGCTCCGCCCGGGGCCGGTAACGGAGCGCCTCCCGCCCCTCCCAGCGCCCGGTTCCCGCCCCTCTCGGCTCCCGGGCCTCCCGGTTCCCACCCCGCTGCCCGGTGCCGGTAGATGCCCGGCTCCCGCTCACCATGGCGGGAGCGGCGCGGGCCCGCGCGGGAACCCCTCGTGCGCGGCGCGGGACTGCGGGAGGCGCTGGAAGCGGGCTCCGCTTCCCGTTCCGGGGGCGCCGCGCTCCCACCTCCGACCTCTCACCCGCGCCGCGCTCCCATTGGCTGCCGGGCCCCGACGCGCCGAACCTCAGGCGCGGCTGCCCATTGGCTCGCCGGTGCCGCGGGCCTCTCTCATTGGCCGCTCAGTTTACCCCCCCCCCCACCCCCGTCGCAACCAATCGCTGTTGTCGCGAGGCGCGCCGTGGTCGCGCGGCTGTGGGCGTTGCGGGGGTGTGAGCCCCTGTGCCGTGCGCGTGCCCGATGCGCGTACCCGTGCGCTGTGCCCGTGCCCCGTGGCCGGTGCGCGTACCCGTGCCCGTGCCCGCGGACAGCGCTGCGCGATCCTTTGGCCGTGCCTGCCCCGCACGGGGTGCCGCTCCGCGCTGCTCTGTACGGGCCGCTCCCCACGAGGGGGCAGCGCCTGCCCGGCACCGGCGGCCGTGGCACCGGCGGCAGCGCTCTGACAGCCTCTCCGGGAGTGGCGGCGAGTCCCGCGGGCGGCCAGAGTCTGGCGGCGTGCGTGCCTCCGTCCGTCCATCCGTCCGCGAAAAACAATTCACAATCCAGCACCTTTCCGTGATTCCACACGCAAGGACAGAAAATGTCACAGTTTATAGGGCACATTAGGTGCGCATTCCCTGTCAGTGTCTTTTGACTCTTTGGGTATAGAGACAGTCGTGACACATCAGTGCTAATTTATGTCTTAACCTTTGACAGGCAAATACTCTGAAGCACCGCCTCTAACCTTTAGCAGTTTGTCACATCCTCCCTAATGTCTTCTACTGCCCCATGTATAAATCCCTCACAAGCCACAGTGTGTATTTCTGTTCCTGCATACAGCATATTCCCTTGGTCTTCAGTGTGTTGGGTGCTGAATGTGGGAAACACACGTTCAGGAAAGTTGACCTCTCAGTAACAGAACTGTCGCAGGTTTTGTGCACTTCACCTTCCACAAGTGACTCTAGTGCCCTGGTATTAAAGGCAAAACCATTCTCACCTCCTCAAATCTGCACGTTTAAAGCTGTTGATGCAGCAAGCCATCTCCTCCAGGTCCAGACTGTCCGTACACACTGGGAATGTGTAGGAGTGGAACTGTGGATGGAATTGTAATTCCTGTTCACTAGCACATATCACAAGTGCAGTCACAGAACCACAGGGCTGTTAGGGTTGGAAGGGACCTGTGAAGATCATCCAGTCAACCCTCCTGCCAAGGCAGGGTCACCTGCAGCAGGAATGTGTCCAGGTGGGTTTGGAATGTCTCCAGAAAGGGACCCTCCATGACCTCACTGGGCAGCCTGTTCCAGTGCTCTGCCACCTTCAACATGAAGAAATTCTTCCTCATTTGAGGTGGAACTTCTTGTGAAGATATCTAAACATGCATTCCCATGGCCTTTAGAAATAAGTATGATTTTTTTTTTTTACTGTGTAGTGGGTGGACAAAAGAAACAACAGCAAAATAATGCTAATTATCTTTCTGGTGGCAGGATTCACTATAGGCCAGCTGAAAGAGCAACTAACTTATAAGATTTTCTTTTGTAAGAAAGTCAGTGTTTTGACTATGAAGGAAAAATATTAACACAATGGGAAATGGTGTATATATATATATATATAATTTTTTGTGCCATTTGCAATATAGAACAGCTGATTTCATATGATACCATGTATAATGTGGCAGAATGCAATGAGCTTAGAGTGAGTATCTCAAATAAAATCCGACAGTAAGAGCAGTTTTTGCACTGTTCTGACAAAGGTAAACATGTGTATCTGTGAATGGCAATATAACAGTTTGGTATGTTATCTGTAAACAGCAGTAGTTATTTTTACATATGAAACTAATTTTGACCACAGTGTCTCCTATGTTGGGAAAACTTTTTATGTACCAAAAAATAGGAGCATTTATATTTCTCTTTTAGTACACTCTGTTGTTCAGATGAGTAAATATTCTAACCCTGTTGTTACAAAAAAGCATTTCCCAGGGTCATGGATCCCAGTGTAGAAGTCAGAGAGTGAGAGTGCTTGACTTTCCCAGTTGTTGCATGAATTCACACGTCAGTGATCTCATCAGCTGAAGACTGGGTCTGCAGCAATTTTGTGCAGTGGTGGGGTAGGAAGGTACTGAAAGGACAGAATGCGTGACTGCATCTGATGTAGTTAACTGAGTAAGTCAGATAATCAGGAAATTAAATAGCTGATGTTTTTCTTTGGCCCTTATGAGGAATTTGCTGTTTACCTTGTTGCCTGAATCATTCTGACTCAGAGACGTCTTCTTATGGTGATCTTCAGACCCTCAGCACAGGGATGAAGTTCACCTTTTGTCCTCTTTCTATTTCCCATGTAATAGGGGAAGCAATAATTTGCATTCTTTTCTGCCTTTGGGTCAGGGTGTTTAGGCTGTTGCTCAACAGGAAATGAACAGGAAAGAGTTGTTGTAATAGATTAATACAAACCTCAGCTCCTGGGTGGATGGATAGGATTTTCTCCTACAGCTCAGGGGTGGGAATTTAACTCAAGAGATGAAAGTCTGTCAGCATGTGGGAAAGGGCATATTGCTTGGATGAAGCCTGAAACAGGCTCACCAGTTTTGTGCCTCCTAGTACGTGGACCCTGTATATCCACCCCTGTAGCACAGTGTGGCTTTGCTTCTGTTGAGAGAGAAATTACAGCCCCCTTTTGTTCCTAAGTCTGATGTCACTACCTCCCAGCTCCCAGCCACAACCTGTGGTGAAGGTCTGTGGTGGATGGTTATGGACTCACATGGAGATTTGATCAAAGATGATGTAATTCAAATGACAATCAGAAGAGAGGAAAGGTGTTTCACTGCTGGACATTTCTGAAAAAATACTGCTTGAAGCAAAACTGTTTTACTCTGGCAAAGGCCCATAAAGTCAGGACTGTACCTCACATGGGGCATAGTCCTGCCAACAGTCCACACAATACTGCTACAGCACTTCCCAAGTCACCAAGAGCTGATAAATGACAGATTTTTCTGCATGTAGAGAAAATCTTGCATTACTTATTGAAAAAGATTTTTAGACAAGATACTCTCTACAGACAAATTGTGAGCAAGATCTGATTTTTCATTCCAGTGTGATATCTAATGGAAAATCTTCCATTATGCCTATTCCTGAAGGAAAAATAGATGTTCTTCATGTCAATACATGGCCTGAGTCCTAGGTCCTGTTCACATTTTACCAACATTGCTACAACAGGAAAACTCCCCAAGGGTGCACAGAGCTTCGAAATCCTCCCAGGTGCACAAGAGTCATAACCACTGCATCCCAAGAAGTTAGAGCTTGTCAGGAATTGGCTACTTAAGCCTACTTAACACTGCTAACCTTAGACTGAGGGATCACCTAACAGGTTCAAGGACCAGACTTGGCCTGGCAGTCTGTCAAGGGGGAGGAAGGAGGGTGGGGTGTCTTTACCTGGGACAGGTTGTATGGGGAGAACAACAGGATCTTACATGGCTTTGTCAGTTCTGAACCCAACAGAATGAAGCAGAAGTTCATCTGCCACAGAGCAGGGCTAATTCCCTGCTGCTACACTGGATCCTTTTTGATGTAAACCTGTCTTTTGAAGGTGCTGTCTTCTGATGGAGCTTCCATTCTGTTAAGTCAGCTTTGCCCATTTGCAATTCAGGGCTGTGCTTTCATGGCTGCTTTACGTTCTTTGACTGCAGCTGGTGCCCATGACATGGTGATGGCAAAGCTGATGCTCCCTCCTACTGCCCTGTGGACATGACTATGGGGTATCAGAAGTAGTTTGCCTGATGTGGAATAAGAGTGCAGTGGAGGAAACCCCCACTGACAGTGGCATATCACTGGGAAATGACACTAATGTACAGCCTAGAAGCTGGCACATGGGGAAGCTCTGAAAATTTCCTTAATAAGTGTTTATGGCAGGCAGAAACAGGTTATGGCAGGGAGTTCCTGTCCCAGCAAACCTGGCTGAATCAGGAAGGAGTTCTGGGCTGCTGAGGTTTCTCTCAGCAGTGTGATGGTACAGGGGCCCTCTCAGCCTGGTTTTATGGCAACACAGTGATGCCAATGAGCAATTGCACCTACACAGACAGCACCATCTAACCAGCCCCTCCACCAGAAACACTGCTGCCCTTGAATGTCCAGCTGCTTGATGTGTTTCCTTAGGAACACAGAGCAGGCACTCAGTTTTGCTGAACAGCACTTGGAAACAGCCAAAGGGAAGGACACAAGGGAACCACAAAAACCAGGACACTTTCCATTGGCCCTGCATGCCTGGCAGTGTCTGCAACACTAATGTGAGGGAACACAAACAAAATGCAAAAGTCTTTTGAGATGGACTTGCCCAGTAAGCAGGAGACCATGGTGGGAAGGACTCCCTGGGCAGGAGGCAGAGGTGAGCCTGGGAAGATGGAAAGGAAGGGTTTCTTCTTGGGTAGAGGATTTATGCACAGTTTCAGATCAGTACAATGTCTTTTTTCTGCAATGATGTCAGTATAAAATGACACTGAGGGTGGAGATGGGGGGCAGGTATGTGCTAACAAAAGCCCAAATCTTTTGTCCACACCATCAAAGATCTGCCAGAGTGGCTCTTCTGTGAACCTGTCACAAGGCCAGGCTGTGCCAACAAGAAGGGGCATGGGATGGGTATTGTACAGAAATTATGGGCACATTAAAGGCTCCTTTTATCCATATTGAATACCTTTATTTTTCTGTGCAAATAGTGTTCATGCAAATTATGCAGCTACACTAAAGAGAGGCCCTTTAAGAATGTGTCTCTGAAAACACAGTCTCCTTTGCCAAGAAATAATGGGACTTCCTTAATTATCAGCTGTTATCTTCTGGGTTTAGCAAACTTTTGCTGCTTTATGTGCGGTTGCTTCTTTTATGCTTTGACATTAATGAATTGGTACTGAAATTATGTACTGAGGAAAACAAAGTGATCTGTACAAATAATAAAATGATGTACTTGTGTGTGTCAGAAAGAAGGAGATCAAGTATTGTGCAGAAGGAGTTTGGAAACCAAACTTTCACACAAACATCTTAATAGA